CTTTACATAAAAAGATATTTTGCTACTAAATGTAATTTACAAAGAGGTTAATGTGTGTAAAATATCTTTTTTGATAAGACCTTGGTTCATATTTATTTTATCTAAAAGCTATGTGTTAAATGGCCATTTTAAGCTTGAACAATTTTATCATTTTTGTCGAGCCTGCGACTTTTGTCGCAGAAAGCTCGACATAGGGATAGCGATCCGGCGGCGGCGGCGGCAGCGGCGTTAGCTAACTTCTTAAAAGCTTTATATTTTAGAAGATGGAAGACCTGGATGCTTCATACTTTGTATATGGATGCCTCATGTTACGAAGTTTCCGTCAGTCACATGTCCAATGTCCTTGACCTCATTTTCATGGTTCAGTGACTACTTGAAAAAAAAGTTCAGATTTTTTGTAATGTTAAATTCTCTCTTATTATAAGTAATAGGATAACTATATTTGGTATGTGCGTACCTTGCAAGGTCCTCATGCCCGTCAGACAGTTTTCACTTGACCTCGACCTCATTTCATGGATCAGTGAACAAGGTTAAGTTTTCGTGGTCAAGTCCATATCTCAGATACTATAAGCAATAGGTCTAGTATATTCGGTGTATGGAAGGACTGTAAGGTGTACATGTCCAACTGGCAGGTGTCATCTGACCTTGACCTCATTTTCATGGTTCAGTGGTTATAGTTTAGTTTTTGTGTTTTGGTTTGTTTTTCTTATACTGTATGCAATAGGTCTACTATATTTGGTGTATGGAATGATTGTAAGGTGTACATGTCTAGCTGGCAGGTGTCATCTGACCTTGACCTCATTTTCATGGTTCAGTGATCAAAGTTAAGTTTTTGAGTTTTGGTCTTTCTTTCTAATACTGCATGCAATAGGTCAGCTATATTTGGTGTATGGAATGATTGTAAGGTGTACATGTCTAGCTGGCAGGTGTCATCTTACCTTGACCTCATTTTCATGGTTCAGTGGTCAAAGTTAAGTTTTTGAGTTTTGGTCTTTTTTTCTAATACTATATGCAATAGTTCAACTATATTTGGTGTATGGAAATATTTTATGATCTATATGTCAGTCACGCAGGTTTTATTTGACCTTGACCTCATTTTCAAGGTTCATTGCTCAGTGTTAAGTTTTTGTGTTTTCGTCTGTTTTTCTTAATTTATAAGCAATAGGTCAACTATATTTGTTGTATGGAAGAATTGTTAGCTGTACATGCCTGCCTAGCATGGTTGATCTGACCTTGACCTCATTTTCATGGTTCATTGGTCAATGTTTAGTTTACTTGGTTAATGTTAAGTTTATGTGACAGTTGTAATAAAGCTTTATATTTAGGACTATCAACATAATATCAATGATTAGTAAAGAAGGCGAGACATTTCAGCGTGTGCACTCTTGTTGCAGATAACAGCTCTTCTTGTATTTTTATGTCCCCGCCGTAGCAGAGGGGGCATTAAGTTTTACCCTTGTCCGTCTGTACGTCTGTACGCCCCAAAATTGGTTTCCGTTCTCTAACTTTAGTTTGCCTCAACAAAATGTTATGAACTTATACACAATGCTTATTACCAGAAAACACAGATCAAGTTTGAATTTTGGTGGCGTCACTTTTACTGTTCTAGAGTTATCCCCCTTTACAAAGGGAAAAATTGCTGAATTTTTCGTTTCCGTTCTCTAACTTTAGTTTGCCTCAACCAAATGTTATGAAACTTATACACAATGCTTATTATCTGAAAACACAGATCGAGTTTGAATTTTGGTGGCATCAATTATACTGTTCTAGAGTTATGCTCCTTTAATAATGGAAAAATTGCTGAATTTTTTGTTTCCGTTCTCTAACCTTAGTTTGTCTCAACCAAATGGTATGAAACTTATACACAATGCTTATTACCACAAAACACAAATCAAGTTTGAATTTTGGTTGTGTCACTTTTACCGTTCTAAAGTTATGTCCCTATACAAATGGAAAAATTGCTGAATTTTTAGTTTCCATTCTCTAACTTTAATTAATAGTTTGCCTCAACCAAATGTTTATGAAACTTACATGCAAGCTGGGGCATCATCTGTGTCCCATGGACACATTCCCCATTTATTTATTTTGTTGAACCCTAACACTTTTCTGGATTTATCTTTAATGGAAATGCTCTAATCCAAAATTTTGAAGATGGGATGTATAAAATTGAGAATGGAAATGGGGAATGTGTCAAAGAGACAACAACCCTGACCAAAGAGCAGAAAACAGCCGAAGGCCACCAATGGGTCTTCAACACAGCGAGAAAATCCTGCACCCTGAGGCGGGCTTCATAAATACTTGATGAGCTAAATGACCAAAAGGGACCTAAAAAGAATAGCCATAACCAATTTGAATTTGCCTGAGGATTTTGATTCTTTTATTTATGGACAATTTTGGAAACTTTCATGAGTTTTCTCATTTGAATGTTTTACACTTGTCATTTCAAAACAATTCAAACGAGAAAAACCACATCTATTGTAAATTTATAGACCATGTACATGCACATCTTGATTTCTTAATAGGCCCTTATTACTAGTAAGAGAAAAAGACAAAGTATGTTATTGTCAATGAATTAATAGACCAGGAAACCTTAAGTTTTATCTATAACCTTTCCATTTTTCAACTTTAGCTCCAATAAGAAACAACTGGTTAGTAGTAAATAGAAGCATTGTGATGTTTACATGTATGCAAGTCTGACAGGGGTCATCTGACCTTGACCTCACTTTCTTGATTCTTTGATTCACATTAAGTTAGTAATTTCTTTGAAATTTATCTAATTAGGTAGACTTAATATCTATAGATAATGGATTTGCATAAAATATTAGCTACTAGATGTTATGCAAACTGAAATAGATTTTAAAGATAATTTATTTTCAACATACACCATATATATATTGGGTTAGTTTTTTCCTGGACACTGAACATGCTGAAAGGGTCAGGTAAATTTTTGCCTTCTAATGTACTGAGAAATATATGTGAGTCTAGTAAATTTCGCTGTAAAATGTCTTCAGGGAAAATTATGCAAATTGGACACACAAGAAAATATGGTAATTAATATCTTTGGTAGACAGGTCATTTCAGCATGCCCACTCCTCTTTAATTTTGAAATAATTTTATGTATTTAAGAATATTTGTAATTTTCCCATAGTACATGTAGTATGTGGAACTTATTGAAGGCCATGACATACTAATGAAAAGGATAACAGGAATTAAAAAAAATATTAGACAGTACAACAGACCTCATCAACCACTAACACGCAACTCTTGATAAAAAAAATGGCGTCTGGCTAGTGTTTTTCATCAGAACTTTTTAAAACTAACATACATTGTGGACAGGAATATTTCATTGAAAAAATGAATGGAATAAAAGAAATTAATTAAGAACAGTGGTGATTTCACCAGCTGAAAAGGCTCCCCAAAAATAAATTTTGACTAACCAATATTTATGAAATATTTAAAGTTTATCATACAGCTCCTAATGAAACCACTTAATTTTGATTGAAAATGGATCTGTTTCAATAGTGTTAAGTTAAATAGTCTGCTTCCTGGCCCTTATTAACCACAGAAATGATATTCTTAAGAGTGTGAACGTAAGTAGATAGGGTCATAGTACATACAACTTCCTTGTGACATAACATTGTTGGGAGGATAACCGGAAAGTCATTTAAATTTTTGTGAAGAATTTAAATTAAAATTGAAACCAAAATTGAAATTGTGAATACTTGGCCACCCATATGTGTGATAAAAAATTATAATATTAATTCTTTATTTATGGAATACTTTTTTTTAGATTTGATTGAATATCAAAATTTTAATCTGTGTTGAAAATTTTCAGCTTTATTAATAGTGCATTCCAGATATTTCTAAATGAAGAAATATTGCATGTTGACTTGGGATGACATGGGTTTTCACAATTTTCAAAATGGCATTGTAAACTTATAAATAGATTTATTTTATGTGAAATATATGTCTTCTATTTATTTTGGTGAAATTCAAGGGAGTAAGTTGCCATTTAAGCAGACTAGCAGTGTAATGAATTTTAGTACAATTTGCATCATATTGGAGCTAAAGTTGAAAAAGGTTAAGATAAAGTTTAAGGTTTCCTGGTCTATTAATTCATTGACAAATTTCATTTTTTCTTTTACTAGTAATAAGGGTCTATTAAGTAATCAAGTATACATTCACATATTTGTATTGGCTATTACGAAAACAAATATGTATGATAACAAATACTTTGATCAATATTTTGTACAAAATGTCCTTGAATGTTACTTTACTAGGTCTTAATATTATTCCCCTATTTTATCGAAAAATTAGCAAATGATGCATATTATAATTTTCCAAAATATTTTGACTATTTAAGAACGAAGACGGATCCTTTTCAACTTACAATATATATGTATATGTTGTTTCTCATGACAAAATGTAGGTCAGGAATGGTTCTGACAATTTTCAGTTTTGTCTCGCCTTGTATTAGCATTGGCACATCTCATTTCCATGGAGATTGTTTAGCCATGTACCTTCAGTCATGGTTCATTGTCTTTGAATATTTGCATAACTTACATGTTAAAAGTATTGCAATTTTAATTTCAACATTTGCATTATCAAAAAGGCTAGACATATCTCTGTGTTACCAGTTTATGTCATTGAGGAGTTATGACCCTTGCTCGCTATACACTATAATACTGTGAATTCATTATTATTCGTTGGGTACCAATTTATGTGGGTTTTGTGTTGTGAAGCTAACCACAAATTTGAACGTGCAACAAAGTATAAATTTCCTCTAGGGCATTAGGCATGAATGGAAACTTTTATAGAACCAAGAAATCAAGTATCCACGAAAATAAAATGTTTCTTCTATCCAAGAAAATTTATACCCAGAAAAATAGATGAATCCACAGAAGTCCATTTCAATCTCAGGAATCTTTGTCTTCCAGACATATCTTCAAGACAGCTATTGTTCCTCATAATCAAAGATGTTTAATTGTTTTATATTTCAGTCATACTTTGTAACAGATTATGATCCAACCATAGAAGATTCATATACCAAACAATGTGTTATAGATTCAGTTGTTGCCAGACTAGACAGTAAGTGGTCTTTCTTTCTGAACCAAATGATGCCCCCACTTTAAAAGTGTTCATCTGTTCATTTGTCCATCTGTTTGTTTGTCACACATTTCTCAGTAACTGGTAAACAGAACGACTTGATATTTAATTTGATGTGTTGGAATGTGACTGTACTTTACATAATTTGTTACAGTTTTATTTCTAAGCAATATTTTAAAGTGAAAAGACAAAATCTTTAAGGGAATAGTTTAAATCACATGGAAAAAAATGCCATAAATTAGTGTAATAATTCATTTTCCCAGGTACTCGTCACAATTGGGTAGGGTTGAAATAGCATGTCATATTGTAAACTAAGAAAATTTTCGCTCAGGGATTATTTTTCTTTTATTTAGGGATAACCTATAATGCATGAAAAATATTGCCCTCACACATACGACTTTTTTATACGTACATATCTGCAATATTGATGTGAAGGACTCAGTTATCATTTAATACACAAGTTTAATCCCCTTGCATAAAGTTTATGCATTAAAATCATGAAAATATCAATGTTTATAGAATTATAGCAACATCAGGGCATGGATATTAAAATATCGATTCTTTTCTGCGCACCTGTTTAAATTTGCCCCACTCAAAAATTTTAATTGGCTTTATTCATTAAAAAAACTATGTCAACGATTTAAGTCCCAAACCTTCCTGTTTAAAATACTTATTTCAAGGCTATGTGATGCTTGTGTTCAACAAATTAGAATATTTTTTATCTTACTTCCCAGAATCGTTAAGTTAGCGGTTGTAAAAGAGGAAACGTTAAAGTACTGGCCTGATTAGTATAGGTGAAGGGTGACGGGGAAATTATTTAGAATGGAAATTTCTGATTTTCTGAATTTCAACGTTCTTGCAGTTTTGATTCTTTAGAAACATACCATGGACCAAAAGTGACTGTTGTATGCTGTCAATTGTTCAGGTGTTGCACGATGTTAGTAGGTCAAGTATTGCAGATTTTAAAATAGTGATAAGGGATATATATAACCGCTGGTATGACTCAATACCTCATACATGTAGTAGCACATACCGTTAACCATGTGACAAGTTTGAACTTGTCTTGATACTTTAAAAATCATTTAAAGTGTATGAGACAAATTTCATGGTGCATTACACGTTCTGATTTAGCATTCATTAGGTACACTCAAGACCAAAAAATTAGGCTTAATACTTAGATGCTTGCGAATATGTAAACCAAACAAACTAATCAAAACAGCTTGAACCATTTAAATAAATTTTTTTTACAGAAGTTGTGTTCATGATTAATCACAAGCCTTACAGCCTGTGCCAATAAAAATGTGGTTGGGCTTATAAAAAATTTTCTGAAAAGAGGCCTCACATGCCACATTTTAAAGAAATTTTATGAAAGGTTATTTTTTATATAATCTATATTTGCATTATTACAAACAATATAAGATTAACTTGTTTTATGATTCGCTGTTTAAGAAAAGAATTAGATATAAAACTATGCTCTTTATTATACAGTTTTAGATACTGCAGGACAAGAAGAGTTCAGTGCTATGAGAGAGCAGTACATGAGATCGGGGGAAGGTTTTTTGTTAGTTTATTCTGTGACTGATAGAAGCAGGTGAGAAAAATATCCCAAGGCATCCTTAAAGTTAATCATTGTAAATGTCTCAATTTTTTAGTCCCCTACCGACGTCGAGGGGGCCTTTAGGTTTGCACTCCATCTGTCTGTTTGTCTGTCCATCCATCAGTCCAACTTTTTTTCTTCGTGCTTGAAGATATTGATTTGAAATTTGGTATGTACTTTTATCATGACAAGTTATAGATCAAGTTCAAATTATGTTCCAGTCTGATGATTTTTGCAGAGGTATGGTCCTTGGACTTAGAAAATTCACTCAAATAATCAGTTTTCCACACTTTTTTTCGTCATGCTTGAAGATGTTGACTTGATACTTGTTATATAGTTTAATTTACACCATGCAAAGTTATAGATCAAGTTAGCATTTTGTTCCAGTACAATGAATTCTTAATCGGTAGTGGACTATGTATTGCCGTGCAAAACTCTCAGAATGCTTGTTCTACCAGATATCTGATCCAGTTTATATTTACACAATCTACAAGACCAAACATCCTTTTTTGACTTTTACAGATGTTATTCTTTAAGTCTAATTTCAACTGGACAGTCCAGTAACTATTAAGCTCCCTTTTTTAAAAACTTTTTTAAACTTTCATAAATAATTTTCTGAAGGAATAATTTAATTTTACCCCACTTTAGGAGTGGGATCTGTATTTCATTGACTCCACCAATCAAAACTAACCGCCACAAAATAGCACAATATTTTGAGTGCTGAAAGTGGTGTTAAACACCAATCAGTCAATGTATTTCATTGACCTTATCCTTTCATTCATCCTCTAGTCTGAGAATTTTAAGTTATTCAAACAAATATATCTGTCACACATTTCTCCAGTACTACTACACAGAATGGCCTTATACTTGGTCAATAGCTTGATATATCATGAATATTTATCCAATCTTAATCACTTTAATATTGAAATTAAATTATGAATTTAACCCAAGTTAAGGATGTAGTCAGATGAAATTTAAATAATCTGGAATTTAAAATTGATACTATAAATCAGAAGAGCATTACCGGTAGTTAAGAAACAAAATAAGTTATGGAACTCCTTTTTGAGATATTTGATTTTAAAAAAATGGCAGGAAAAGGCTGACTCTGACTTTTACCTTTTATTTATCATTGGCATTATTTTGCAATTGGGTCTGAATTGTAAGAAAAGAAATCTAGAATCTGTTTAGATTTTGGTAATGACCTTTTATGAGCTATTGAAGTGTTGATGAAAAGAAAAGTGGGTGATGTGGGGCAAAATATTTTTCCCTTTATCATAGGAAAAAACCTAAGGAGTACAAACATCTGACAAAAATTCCTAAGCTGACATGACATCATTCTTAATAAACCTTTCTATTATATTGCTATCCTTTTGCTTTGATTGTTCATAATACCTACATAAGTGTAATTATTTTATGGTTAATTTTTCAGTTTTAATGAAATTTATAAATTCCACAAGCAGATATTACGAGTGAAAGATAGAGAAGAATTCCCTATGATATTAGTAGCAAATAAAGCTGATTTAGAACATCAAAGAATAGTAAGTATCCTGACAGATAATGTTGATCTGTATATATATATTTAAGGAGCCTAGCAATTACACAAACTGGATTTTTGCTTGTAAATTGAAAAATAGTTCATTACCAGGTTTGAAAATAAAAAATGGCTGAATGTGGCACATTGAAAATAAAAACCAGTCACTTTCTCTCATAAAGAAGATTTCTACACCAAAATTAAGTAATTCAAAATTTAGTTAGAAGGAAGATATCTCCCTCAAAAACACCATTTTTTTCAAAATATGACCAGTATTTTTTATGTCGCCTTTCTAATTGTAGAATTACCTCATAGATCGTAGAGGCTACATAGGTTGACGTATTGAAAGCAAAAATGTGATGATACTAATTGGATACTGATTATGAATAATAATAAAGATAGCTCTTTTAAGTCAACAAAATATTTAAACTGTTTTATAAATCAAAATAATTTTGTTAACATTATCAACACTGAAGTTGTGAGTTAGAATCCCGCATATGGGAGGTGTGCTTGACTCCAATCTTAATTGACCAGGATTGTCAGTTTTTCTACGGAAGGTCATTGGTTTTCTCTGGGCACTCATACTTCCTCCACCAATAAAAACTGACTGCCACGAAATAGCACAATAGAGCTGAAAGTGGCGTTAAACACCAATCAATCAATCAATCAATCAATCTTGTTAACTTTGTCATAGAGCATAACAGCTACCTTTTTATACGACCGCAAAAAAATTTTGTGGTCGTATATTGGTATGACGTTGGCATCGTCGTCGTCGTCGTCCGGCGTCGTCGTCCGAATACATATTGGTTTTCGCACTCTAACTTTAGTTTAAGTGAATGGATCTTTTTGAAATTTGACCATAAGGTTAAATACCACAAAAGGAAGGTTGGGATTGATTTTGGGGGTTATGGTACCAACAGTTAAGGAATTAGGGGCCAAAAAGGGGCCAAAAATGAGCATTTTCTAGTTTCCAGACAATAACTGTGGAACGGTGTATGGATCTCTCTGAAATTATACTACAAGTTTCCATACCACAAAGGGATGGTTAGGATTTGCTTTGGGGGGTTATGGCTCAAACCGTTTAGGAATTAGGGGCAAAAAAGGGGGAAAAACAAGGTTGTCCTGGTTAATGGACAAATACTTTAGTACAAAACATAATTTAAAGCAGTGTAAGGGAGATAAATCAAATACATCATTGAAATTATCTCCCTTACACTGCTTTTAAATTATGTATAAAGTAATGGTTAATGAACAATAAAGATAATCTAAAACAGTGTAAGGGAGGTAATCCAAATACAACGTTTTGGTTACTTCCCTTACTCTGCTTTTAAATTATGTTTAAAGAAATGCATATTTATAAAGGAAGACCAGTAAAAATATCTGCAAATGTTTTCATCTTTTTTTTTTACAAAAAAATCCATATGAAAGATTTGACACTATATTTTTATTAATTCTATTATAAAATAGATTAAGTTAGCACTATGGTAAATTTAAATGGGTAATTATGGTTGCCAACTCCATTGGAAATTTGAATTGAGATTATGACCATATCTTGAGGGAAAGAATTTTTTTGGGGGAAAAAGGGGGGGGGGATAAAAAGAAATTGTGGGGGGCCAATTTTTTCTCATTTCAGATTTCAGAAATTAAAAAGAATTATTCTTCAAATATTATTTTTTTTTCAAATTTCAAATATTGAAAAATTTCAAGAAGTAATCTTTAATTGCACAGTATGGCGCATTAGATTTGTAAAATCTTTGATCACATTTATTTATTTGTTATGCCGAATCTAACAGTGTATTTAGATTTTTAATTTTGGGTCCAGTTTTCAAATTGGTCTACATTAATGTCCAAAGGGTCCAAAATTAAACTTTGTTTGATTTTAGCAAAAATTGAATATATGAGGTTCTTTGATATGCTGAATCTAAACATGTATTTAGATTTTTGATTTTTGGCCCAGTTTTCAAGTTGGTCCAAATTGGGGTCCAAAATTAAACTTTGTTTGATTTCAACAAAAATTGAATATATGGGGTTCTTTGATATGCTGAATCTAACCATGTATTTAGATTTTTTATTTGTGGACCCAGTTATCTAATTGGTTCATATTGAGGTCAAAAGGGTCCAAAATTAAACTTTGTTTGATTTCATCTAAAATTGAATTATTGGGGTTCTTTGATATTCCAAATCTAACCGTGTATTTAGGTTCTTAATTTTGGGTCCTGTTTTTTAAATTGGTCTACGTTGAGGTCCAAAGGGTCCAAAATTAAACTTAGTTTGATTTTAACAAAAATTGAATTCTTGGGGTTCTTTGATATGCTGAATCTAAACATGTGTTTAGATTTTTGATTATGGGCCCAGTTTTCAAGTTGGTCCAAGATAGGGTCCAGTATTTAAACTTTGTTTGATTTCAACAAAAATTGAATATATGGGGTTCTTTGATATGCTGAATCTAAACATGTATTTAGATTTTTGATTATGGGCCCAGTTTTCAAGTTGGTCCAAATTGGGGTCCAAAATTAAACTTTGTATGATTTCAACAAAAATTGAATATATGATGTTCTTTGATATGCTGAATCTAACCATGTATTTAGATTTTTTATTTGTAGGCCCCGCTATCAAATTGGTTCATATTGAGGTCAAAAGGGTCCAAAATTAAACTTTGTTTGATTTCATCGAAAATTGAATTATTGGGGTTCTTTGATATGCCAAATCTAACCATGTTTTTAGATTTTTAATTTGGGTCCCGTTTTTTAAATTGGTCTTCATTGAGGTCCAAAGGGTCCAAAATTAAACTTAGTTTGATTTTAACAAAAATTGAATTCTTGGGGTTCTTTGATATGCTGAATCTAAACATGTATTTAGATTTTTGATTATGGGCCCAGTTTTCAAGTTGGTCCAAGTTGGGGTCCAAAATTAAACTTTTTTTGATTTCAACAAAAATTGAATATATGGGGCTCTTTGATATGCTGAATCTAACCATGAATTTAGAATTTTTATTTGTGGGCCCCGCTATCAAATTGGTTCATATTGAGGTCAAAAGGGTCCAAAATTAAACTTTGTTTGATTTCATCAAAAATTGAATTATTGGGGTTCTTTGATATTCCAAATCTAACCGTGTATTTAGATTTTTAATTTTAAGTCCCGTGTTTTAAATTGGTCTACATTAAGGTCCAAAGGTCCAAAATTAAACTTAGTTTGATTTTAGCAAAAATTGAATTCTTGGGGTTCTTTGATATGCTGAATCTAAACATGTGTTTAGATTTTTGATTATGGGCCCAGTTTTCAAGTTTGTCCAAGTTGGGGTCCAAAAATAAACTTTGTTTGATTTTAACAAAAATTGAATATATGGTGTTCTTTGATATGCTGAATCTAACCATGTATTTTGATTTTGGACATTGGACCATAATAGGTAAATTAAAAAAATTCAAGTTCTTAGACCACATTCTTTCTGTGTCAGAAACCTATGCTGTGTCAAATATTTAATAACAATCCAAATTCAGAGCTGTATCAAGCTTGAATGTTGTGTCCATACTTGCCCCAACTGTTCAGGGTTCGACCTCTGCGGTCGTATCAAGCTGCGCCCCAGCGAAGCATTTTATTTGTGATTGAATTGTGTTTGGATTGAAGTAGCTCAATTTGATTAAAGGAATTGCTAAACTACTTAAGAAATGCATGTCTCAAATCCAAAATAGAGATTATTAGAATTTTAACAGGGTTTTACAGGGGAAATTCTGTCATTGATTTGGGATTGTATGGCAGTTGGGCATGCAGCTTCAGTTGTTTTATGCGATAACTTATGAACTATTTAACCAATGATTTTCAAATTTCAATATGCCGTTACTGATGAAAAAATGGAGGTGAAGTTGGATATTGACTATTTCTATTTTTGCCTTTTTATGCCCCACCTATGGGCATTATGTTTTTTCGGTCTGTGCGTCCGTTCGTCCGTCTGTCCTGCTTCAGGTTAAAGTTTTTGGTCAAGGTGGTTTTTGATGAAGTTGAAGTCCAATCAACTTGAAACTTAGTACACGTGTTCCCTATGATATGATCTTTCAAATTTTAATGGCAAGTTAGAGTTTTGACCCCAATTTCACAGTCCACTGAACATAGAAAATGATAGTGCGAGTGGGGCATCTGTGTACGATGGACACATTCTTGTTGAGTTATGGTCCTTGATTGATTGGAAAAAAAGGACTTAAAATGTCAATTCCGTGCAATAACTTATGAACCATTAAACAAATTTTAAATTTTGTTACTGATGACAATTTGAAATTTCACACTACATACCATCTTATTATAAAGCTCAACAATGGTTATCTTCACTATATAGAAACCCTGATTTGCTGTCAATTTCTTGTTCATTTCTTGTTAGTTATTTCAGTTATAGTTTTTCAGTTAATATTTAGAATATGTAAAGGAATCTTAAACATTGTCAATTCTGAATTTATAGTTGATTACAGGGCTTCCAAAAAATATTTGAGCCTGCCAGAATTTTTTTTTGTCTTATCCCAATTTTTATCCCTGAAGACTTAGTAACAAAAGGCAATCATGGTAATCAGTTGGGCATCATAAAACAATGATTGACACAGAAACGATATTAAACTTGACTTTTGATATAATTTCGATGTTCTGACGTAAACTGTTAAATTAACAGCTAGAGCTTCATCGGAAATGTGCAACATCAGCGTACTTATATCTGCCTTAGACTCTTTATTAGTGCAAAATTATGCTTTACTTTCGTTTTAAAAAAGCACATTTTCTTAATTAAAACTGGATGCTGACTTGACCATGGTAAATTGCGTACCAGAGACGGATATGTAAAATCCGTGAAGTTTACAAAGCACGATTGAGTTTCAGAAGCTCTTTCTAAATTATTTCTTCAAAAAAAATACTAGAAATGAAAGTTAGATAAAGGTATCGATGATAATTTTAACATTTTTGAATAATTTGGATTCATAATTAAATTTCACACCTGAGCACATAGCACATGCATATGTGTACTACTAATTTAAACAACATGGTTCTGACGAGTTTTTGCTGAAAACCTTTATTACTACCTTTTTAAATTTTTCATCAAATCATATTGAAATACGTATTTATGAAAATCTTTTTGACTACATTTAGTAGATGCAAACAGCTGCAATTTAAGAAAATAACTTTAGATAGACCGATCAATGTCTGGTACAAAATAGTTTACCTGTCACCTGAACAATTAAATTTCAGCTTTCAGACAACTAATTAACCTTGATTGCAATGAGGGGGTATTAAAGTAGGGTTTGTTTTGATAGTACTTATTCACCATGCCATTTTAATGACCGGAAATGTATGGCTGTTAAAGGCAAAAGGTCAGGTTCAAAAGATCGCATAAATTTCAATTGTTTTTCTGATTTGTATTTAAATTGAAAAACCCACGTCCGGTTCAGTCTCGGCACAACAAGTCAAAAATGTAATTTATTGGACAACTCCAGACAATAGGACCGTTTTGAAAGCCATGATTGATTAGTAAAAAATTTTCATATGTCCAATCAGATTCAGTGATATAATTTATGGAATTACTGCTTGTGTGTTACAGGTCACAAGAGAGGAAGGTCAAGAATTATCTAGACAACTGAGAATAAATTATATAGAAGCTAGTGCTAAAATGAGACTTAATGTAGATCAGTCATTTTATGATTTAGTCAGAATTATAAGGTAAGTTTTGCTGTATTAAGAAAGCATTTTCATTGGCTTAAAGAACCTGAATTTAATTGTTTTTTTTACTAGTTCTCTGTCCATGAACTGATTTATGTTTTCTCCTGCTTCATAAGTATTTAACAATTACACAAAAATGTAGCAAGGAAAGGCCAATGAAATTAGCTGTGAAGTTGAAATCTCCAATTCTTCAGTTAAACAAGTTGTGATTATACTAACTTATAGGCTGAACTTATTGGTAATCACTTGATGGTTATGAAAATATTCTGTATTGTAAATAGTGAGATTTTTGTGTAAATTATGACATTATTTTTTAGATTTCTCTGCATATTACAGTATTTGTTGATATTTCCCCACATCTGTGTCGTTCAATGCACTGATGTAATATGATTGACATCCATCAAAGGCTTCCGCTCAAATGAGTGCTAGGGTTGTCTTAGACTTGTAGTAGTGAGGTGTGATTTTTTTCTGTGTGTTGTCCACCACACCTGCCACCAGTTACGTCCTTAATTATAAACCCAATATTGTGTTTTTCCTGGATGTTAGACTCAGTGAGTTAACCTGTGACAACAACATATAATTGTTTTGTTACAGTTAAAAGACACTACATGTACTCTCCCATAGGATTTTCTTACCGTCATATACAACTGAAACTGAAACTCTTTCAAATACATTCTTTACTGATATATTTTTCAGAAAATTTCAAGCAGAAGAAAGACCAGAAGAAAATTCTCGAAAAAATGGAAGCGGCAAACATCGGAAAGGACGATGCTCTATATTATGATGTACAAAAGACAAATTTACTGTGTAAATGTGATAAAAATGAGGTCACAAACATAAAGAAAGACAACTTCTGGTGCCATGTATTTTCATTGTTAACATCTGAACAGCATCGTGTGTAAGATTCGCTCTTTTGCTTCAGTTGAGATGTTTGTGATCGCAGAAACTTTTCATCCTTCTTGTGTCTTCTGCCTTTGAGAAAGGATTTATTGGTGTAGTCTTGATGTTATCCATTCATACGTTGCATTTCATCTTTGCGAAGAAAAAACTGTTACCAATATATAGTGAATCGTGTTTCCAGTGTAGATTTTATAAATTGATTGTGTTTTCTGGCATAGATTTATATAGTGCTCAAATGTTATCCATTTTGTTTTGAATGGACATTAACAATACTGTTGTAATGTTTTCTGTGACTATATACCCATATAGTGTACAACTTTAAAGACTAGACCTTTGACCTTGTTTTGACATATTTTTCCATCTTATTCTGTGGTAGAGTTTAGGTCAGATCATTTTCCTAGTGGCCCTCAAATGTAAAAAGTAATCTCTGCCTTTTTGCATTTCTTTGGACTGCTGAAATCTATGAATTGAGAATAAAATATAATCCTTCCCTTTTTTACATTTCCTTTTACAACTAAAATCTTGAATTTAAACAGAAATATTGATTTTATTTCATGCTTTCATTGCGTTTTAAACTAATTTGAAAATGAAATTTTAAATATTTTTCATTTAATTTGAAGTCCCAACTTTAAAATTGTTTGCTTTGTTTTTGCATTCCAATATTGCTGACTTGTTTGTAAGCTAATTAAATTCTTGCATTATAAGTACTTATACAGCCTAAACCATTCACCTATTAACCAATCTTCTTGCAGGTGGTCAATTCTTTAGTTATAAGAACTTTTAAGAATAAAAAACAGCTGAACAAAAAAAATTAATTCATATTTTGAATATTTTGGATTTTAGTCACTTTTTATAAGAAGCTGCAGTATCAACCTTAATACAATTGACCACTTAATGGAATAGTGGTTAACACATAAATGGTTTCTGCTATAAAACAATTAACAGTATTATAGTTGTCTTTACCTCCTGTGTATATTCCTCTGTATGCTTTGTAACTAATTCATGGCCAGTTTCTGACTTTTATGTGCAATATTGGAGGTTTCTGATTTCTGAATAATATTTGTGGCTGTGATTAGAAAAAATATTGTATTTCCAGTTTATGGCTGAATGATTCCCGTGGTTACATAAGTGCTGAGGAATGATGGAGAATAGGAAACGTATAGTATTCTTAAATTGAATTATTTTCTCAAATAAAAAAAAAGATTTCATATACAAAGTAGTAGTTGAAAACTGAAGGACTGGTGTGCACCTACAAACTTTATTGAAAATTAGATTCATTGATGTCTTGATATTACATCTATTGGTTGTCATTTCAGTTGGATACATTTTGTGTACTTAAGGTCATGAGTCAACGTGCAAGGGAAATAACTCTCTAAACATCAACAAAATATATTGGTAGTATTGTGGAATTGAATCCTTTTATTTACATGGACTCAAATTTGTAAAGAAGATAACATCTTCTGTTTAGGCCATTGAGTATATATTGTCGAGGGAATGTGTGTTTAATAGTTTTTATTAATTGCTGCTAGGAATTGTATTTTCACCTTAAGATTTGGAGTAAATTTGCTGTGAAGTTAATTTGGGCCAAGTTTTTTTTAAGTGTCATTCTTACTTGTGGTTGCTTTCTTGCCATCTGCTTTCGAAGTCATTGTAAGTATTTATTAATTCTGTCCAATGCTTTTTTTTTTATTATGGAGTGCTGAAGGAACAAAAGTTTAGTGAAAAGGTTTATGTATCCAATGTTGTGTTTTCTTAACCTATACAGTGGCATTATGATAAATTCTCTGCATGTTGATACCCCAGTATGGGGCATTATGGTTTCTTGTCTGTGTATCAGTCTGTCTGTTCTGTATCAGGTTAAATTTTTGGGATAGAGTTTACCATGAAGTTGTAGTCACATCAACTTGACTACTCATTTTCATTATGATGTGAACATTTTCAAATGCATGCCAAATTAAGGTTTTGACACCGATTTTGTAGTTCCCTGAACATAGAAATGTATTAGTGCAAGCAGGGCAAGGTGTCCTATGTACATATATTCTTTTTCTTATTAATGAAAGTGTTGATTTTGGGTATGACCTCTTCATTCTCCTGTTTAATTCAACTGATCATTTTTAAATGTTAGGTTTTTCCAAGATTTTTGTTTTAGATATGTCAAAGATAAGATTTTTTCCTTACAAAACAAAGGTTCCTTTTATTAATGTTTTCATCATTTATAACAAAAAGTTTTTCATCTCTTTGTCAGGTTACCAAAGAATTATAGCAGCATAAATAAGTATTTAATTTCTATATTCTTGTTGTTTCATTGATATCATAGAAATCAAATATATTATATCTATAATTGGCCATTTCAGAATCTAAAGGACTATGGGTAATTTCATTGTTCGTACCCCAAAATGAAAATAACCTCACGTCATTGGTTGAATTTCCATTGTTTAGGACGTTTTTAACCAATCACGACGTTTTGGTGTACATTTTTGAAAATATTACCCAGAATGCATTAGATTCTGAAACTAAAAATAACTTCTGGTTCTAACAGATTTATATACCTTAATCTATCTTCTATTTTTTTAAAAAGAATATGGGAAATATATGAGCTGTAAAAATAATTATTAATTGTGTGAAGAAAAAAATTAGTCTTACCCAAACTATGAATTTAACTAGTCTTGTTGCATATTAATGTACATTCCTCTATAATCTTTCTGTAACCTTTATTTTGTTACTATTTGTTATTGATAATTTTAATTTTGTAAAGTATGTAATAATTTATATCTTACTTTTAAACTAGAGAGATTAGTTTGTATCTTGCATTGTATTAAATTTGTTGTTATTTATTTTTTGTAAATTTGATCCAGTGATTTTTTCTTTTGTTTGAAAAAAAATACATAGAGGACTGCATGTGGGGTGTAATAAGTTTGAATTGTTTGTTTCAGTATTTTCGTATTTATAGATAATAAAATGGCAGAAAAGTTTGCAATTTGAGCATTATAATTTTTAAATAATTAAGAAAAAAAGGTTTTTAAAAAAATACTGTCATTTTTCATTTATTTGCAGGCTTGAATAAATTGCTTTTTGCTGCTGTTTTTGTAATGCTTGTACAATTACTGAATACAGAGATTAAACAAATTTAAAAAAAAATTAATAGCGTTTTATGGTTTATCTTTAACCAACTTTTTTGTGCAGAGCAAAGGTAGCCATTACCTACGTTAAGAGAGATAACACTTTAAATTGGTTAAACGTTTGTAATAATCCTTTCCATCAATGTTTGTAAAGTATTTATGTGAAACAGAAATTAAATGATCTGTGTTACTTTGAAACTTAGAAAATATTTAAGAAAATGTTTGACATAAAGGTACAAGTGATTTTTAACAGTTATGCCCCGTAGTGTAGCTGTATCTTCTTAAACTGGCCAAAACTGGCTTAGAGCTGGTTATTAGTTTTTGGAGTAATTTGTGTCATAATTTTTGAAAATTAATAAGTAAATAATAAAAATTAGGGAGAATAGAAGGTTTCTAACATTTTTTATTACCCGGTAAACAAGACTAATTAAAAAGGATTTGATAATTCCAACAAAATTGTAATTAATTATAAACATGTAATCAATTTGTACAGATATTAACAACTTTATACAGTTTTATTTATACAATATGTACTTAACTCAGATTAGTTTTATTTTTAGGGAATTTATGTTTACATTTATTATGACATTTATATGATTCGTAAAAAAAAAAAAACTAATGAATATAAAGGAGCGATCGTAGAATGAATTATAAATATGAGTATATTGGGAAAATCTGATTGTTCCTTTTTTTATAATTACATGCTTTGTTTGTATGTATATACCCGAATAGCTTTAAATTTTATGCTTTTGATATTTCAGTTTTCTCTGGTAAGAAAATTGCTATCAGTATAAAGATTTTTTTTTTGTAATTTTATAAATTACATTTACATTTTATTTTTATAATCTGTAGAATTTTTAAGCAAGTTTATATCCTTGCTTGACATGACCTTGAAAATATCTCTCTGAACCAATATTTTGATAATTGTGTCTAGTAATGGACATATTTACTGGTCAAGGGTCCAGTCTGATCTTTTCAGCTTAGCAGTTTTAGCTTGGGTTCAGGAAGTACTGCTAAAATCTGATATAACAGCACTTATATAAATGAGGACAATTTTTATAGATCAAAAAATAAAAAATCTGGAAAAATGGAGATAGGTCCATGTGCACATTTTGGAGACATGCTCATCTAAAAAAATAGATATAAAATTGACTATTAAACAAATTTATTGTGTAGTCTGTAAAAGCTGAATAAATCATTCTTGAACTCACCTGTAGAAGGTTAAGTATTGCATTTCAAAATTTATTTTGATTTTGAGATATAAATGTACTATCTAAATTAGTACATTTGAGTTCTACTAAATCTTCCACTATCTATTAGGAGACACATTGGCTCGTTCAGATGCTTAACGATTTCTGTTATATTATTTTAGCTTATATTGTTTTGTATATTGCTTTTAATCATTGTATTTTGATTGAACAACTGTACAGCATTTTAATTTTCATATTTCTAGTCATTAAAAACAATGAATATCAAAACATTAATCAATACTTTGTTTTTTTCATATGCACTTTTTGATATCATTATCACATTTTGAATATCTTTCTATCATCAAACTCAGTCAACTGAAATCTTTAAGATATCGATTTCACTAGTGATTTCAAATAAACAAAATAAAAACTTTTTTAATTAGTATACCCTAAATTTCTATTTGGATCATAGCCCCTGCCATTGAATATAACCAAAATACTTATAAAGTAAATAAATTATACTTATATGTTTAACTCAAGCCTTTCTTTGGAATTCTACATTATAAAAAGAGGAGGTCGGATGAATTTCTCCATTTTAGAATTGTGTTTCGTGAGCAATTTATTGAACTGAATTTAAATATCTTTGAAAAAATAACATTTTAAACCTCTGAAACAGATTTTATTCAATTAAATTTAATCACAGTAGGGTAAATTTTTGCAGCAGAATCCATCCATCTGTCAACCAGTTTTGTTGCAAGTGTTGAGATCATATCAGAATGTTACAGGAGTTATTGAAAAAAATGTTTGATGTTAGTAAAAATTGCTGAACAGCTTTATTTACTTTAGATTAAGTTTGATTTGCTTAAGTAATTTAAGAATGTTTGCCTAACACTGAGCATTTTTTTTTTTATTTCAACAACTATCAAATTTGTAGAGCTTCTGTAACATTCCGAAAAAAATTACCCCTTGCAAGAAAATAGATTAAAAGATAAGTGAGGATTGGGAGTCTTCGCTGTTATGTCATTTAAATAAATTATTTAAGTTTTAGTCATCATTTTGTACATTTTTTTTTTCATTTACTTGGAGGTTCTTTCATTTATAACAGAGCAAGTGTTTAATTATATTTGTCAGAGGAGTATTTGTAATTTAATATATAAATGAATACATTTAAAAAAAAACTATGTTTTTTGAAATCCATTTAAAATGTTGTAAGTTGGTGTAAAAAAGTTGCATTTTTGTCTCACATTTTGATAACAGACCTGAAAGAATGCAGGAAACTTAAAACTATTTTTCTAATGATTGTAGTTTAAAGGTTTGGTTGGCCTGCTTGCTTTGTTTGTATAAATGTTTGCTCAAGCATTGTAATTAAGATTGACATCTGCAATCAATAGATAGGCGGGGCTTCAGCTTGTATACATAATACTCTGCACTATTACATTACATCCAATAACATTTAAGTATAATGTATACAAGCTGAAGCCCCGCCTATCTATTGATTGCAGATGTCAATCTTAATTACAATGCTTATCCTTTGATAAGGGAATTGGACATCATTGTTATTATAGACCATAATGCTGTGTTAACCATCTAGAATGTTAAACCAAAGATGAACTCTTTTGAATTTATTGGGATACAGGAATCAAAGTAAACTAACTGTACAGTGATGGTAGTAAATTTACCTAGTAAAGCTTAAAGATCTGCAAAAAAGAAGTGGACTTCACCACCCCCTTATTTTTTGTATAATTGTTGAATTAAATTTTGCATTCAAATATCAATACTCTAGTAAACTGGCATTTTATAAGAAATTTGAATATCTGTTTTGTGTAATGTTTTAGTTTTAGTCTTAGGAAAGAAAATTTATTTCTTCCATTTAAGCCCTTATAACAAGAGCTCACATATATTTGCATTGCTTTGACTATTCTGTCTTTCATCTTTATGCTTTATTGAATTTAATTCGTAATGTCTCGCCTAATGCATTACTCAATTTTTTCATTGTAATTATGTGGAGTGAGAAGTTTTACTGCTAGCTTGCTGATTGATTTATCTCCAATGTATCATTACATGGTAAATTTTGGGGATATAAGAATATTACATGGTGGCTGTATTCCAAAAAAACATTTAATCTCCAAAAGTGACTTAATGAGTACTGGTTATATGATTTTTATATTCAAATAATAGTAAAAGCCTTTAGAGTGTGGCTGTAAAGTTAAGCTAAAAGCAGAGGCAGATTTAGGGGGACCAGGGGACCAGGCCCCCTTATGGAGCTACATTTATGGTTAATGCATTGACTTTGCACCAGTTCTACTCCTTATATTGCCTTGATTGGTCAATTTGGTCCCCACTTTTTCAAAATCCTGGCTCTGAACTGAAAAGGACCTGATGAAGGTGGCTATTTGGCTAATGTAAAATAGATAAAAATTGTGTCTTGACTTTAATCATCAATATGTGCTTGATTGAAATAATTATTCAAACTTATGTTTTCAACAAAATAGTACTAACTAAACATTTAAACTAAAAAGTACAGAAATTATTTCACTGACATCCATTTCTAATGTGGAAAGGACCTTTTTGCTGGACTTCCCCCCTCCCCCTAGAAGTTATTTCAAGATTCAATAACATTTGTCATATGATTTTTCAGATTTTAGAATGTATTCAGAGAGCAAATTTTAATCAAGAGTTTAATAAGCAGACATTCAAACCTAACTTAGTGAATCGGACATGCTGACCTCCCTAATAAATTATGTTCATTTCATTTTATGTGTCTGAAAAAGTTGATATGATCATTTATTACCCTTTTGAATCAAAATCGCCAAGTATTATACATCTATCAAATAAAATCATTAAGATATTCACAACAGTTTGTCAGATATCAGTAATTGTATATTTGAGTTGTGTCTGCATATACTTGTTTTGAAACATCAAGCTTCTTACTTCAAAAAAAAAAAAAGGTAAAAATTGTCCAATTTGGAGATTTTCCAATTTGTATTTGGAAATTTGCAACAACCTTATCCAAAATGATATTTTGTCACAAAATGTTGATCTAAGATGTTGATGTGAATCAAAAATATTTGGAAATAACCGTTGCTCATTTTGAATTCGACCAAAATGTATTTGTAAATTGACCTTATTTGGTCTTGTTTATGATGTCACAGTGACTTCACAAATGAAATTTGTGCACATTAGTGACTAGACATTATTCATTTATTTAAAAAATCACATAGGTTTGAAGGGATTGAAGAACTAACTATATTTGTCATTTCAAGGGCCAATTAATGGCTCATATCATACCTCCCCCTTTCTGTATATATCAACAGAAGCCTTGAAATTGATGCTTACATATTAATGAAAAAGGTGATTTCTATTGGTTTAGATCATGTCAGGTGACATTTAATTAAATTCTGAGCAAAACCATACACTTTTTAACCCAATTTTCTTGCAATTTTATATCTAGAGCCATTCAAACTATTATTAATTGCTAATTACTCAGGGTAAGCAGCCTGTTTCAGTAGACTTTGCCTTAGGTTACCATGGTAAGAGGTGTTCCGTTTGAGCAAATGGGTATCAATGCCTGAATTACTTTTATGATGATTTTTGATGAAAATTAAAATTAACTTTACAATATTTAGAAAATGGGTTTATATGTGCATGGTATAGTTGTAAAAACCAATAAGTTTCTCTTCCACTTGCCTATATGTTGTAAGAGGTTTGGGTCTTTTGAGTCTGTTAATTAAAGTATTTTTGACCTATATGAAAAACTGTAATTGTATTATTGTAAGACAATGCATTTTCAGGTTCTATTTTGTGATATTATCGCTTGTTTTTTAAATCATCTATATATACATGTGTGTCATTATTTATATCTGAGTTTCATGTATATGTGTGTGGTTATACATTAAATGTCTTATATAATGCAAGTTTCTTTTCTGTCTTTCAACATATTGTGTAGTATAGAATAAATATTTTTTGTGACTATTTTGGCTATTCCTTAGAGAAATAGAGAAAGCTATTTTGAAATTTGTGCTTTTTAAAAATGAACAAGATTAGATTCTTGAAATATGATATATATTGAGGAATTTCTGATTCAATTTTCATCCAAGTTTACATCAAATAGTAATGTGTAATGAATAGGTAGTAGGGATAAAAGGAAATTTAATATTTATTATAGTAATTTAAAAAAATATTCCAATCTGAATATTAGAGACTTGCATATAAAATGCATTATGAAATTTATTATTCATTGGGTTCAAGTATGCCTTAATTTCTAGGCAGAAAAAAAGATTTTTTTTCAATTGGGCTTTTCAGACTCTAAAGGATTATGGGTAATTGCTCAAAAATATATTATGTCATTGGTAGAATATCAATTGTTCAGGAAATTATAAATTAATCAAAAGTTTTAGTGAACTTTATGAAAATGTTACCCAGAATGCATTAGATTCTGAAAGGGCAAATTATTTATTTAATCAGAAAAAGAGATAATGACAAGTGTTGATTATAATTATTAGTAAAATTTGGATGAGAATAGAAATTTAAATTCAGAACTTCTGCAAACTTCTATTTAGGACACACATTTTTGGTCGTAATTGATTGAAAAGAGAAATTTAGAGAGGGGTGGATGGACCTTTTTTCGGGACATCGTGATTGGATCTTAATTTTTTTTGCAGGTAATTCGGGATTGGGCCTTTATTTTTGCTAGAGTTTGGGATTAACACTTATCTTAACCCGGGAATTGAAGATTTATTTTTTCAGGATCTGTGAAAGAATGCTTTATTTTTTTCGGGAAATCAGGATGACACCCCCTCCTATCCCCCTCTTTTGAGTATGGACAATTTTTGTCTTATTTGAACAAAAAATTAGCTTCAGTAATTATTAGTTCTTAAAACCAAGATAGCAGTGGAGGATCCAGGGGGGAGGGTTCTGGAGGTTGGAACCCCTTTTTTTTTGACGATTAATGCTTTGGAATGGGGACATGTGGTTGGAACCCCCTTTTAAAAATGGCTGGATCTGCCCCTGGATAGACTTGCTTACTATTATCAGTAATTTTTGCCTTGTTATAAATATTTGTGTATGATATATTACCAATAGACTGGGAAGAAATTTGTGTGTATATTACCTAATTGTTGTATTACAGCTAGGAAGGATACGTTGCCTTTCATCAAGGCCATAAAAAATTATTTTTAGATTCTTGTTCTTGTTTTTATTAGAACGTTTGGGGGTGAGAGGATTTTATTTTTTATGCTTTATTAGCTCAACTATCACAATGGGTTAGTGTTAGCTATTGCCATCACTTGTCAATTTCAATATCTTTTTCTTCTAAAAATTAATAACTTAGGATCAAATTTTGCTTGATTAATTTTTAACCTATTTTAAAATTTGTTATTTATTTTGGAAAAGTCTTAGAGAAATGATGAATTTATGATTCTTTTTTTGAACTACAGATTATGATTGATACAGACATCAAACATGGTAATAATTCAGAATTCTCAATCAATTTTCCTAACCTTTTTGCTATTTAGTAGAGTTGAAGGGACACTAATTATAAAATTAGTTTTATATGGCCTAATAATTGTTTTCTTACCATGTAATTATGTATTTTTAAAATACATTGAATAAACGTAATGAATTTTACAATTGGTTTGTTTGTTTGATGCCAATTTTAATTCAGGATTTGTAAACTAGTAGGAGTTATGGCCCTTCATCCCTTTACATGCTTATATACATAATAAATCTTTAGGGAGTAACTCCTTTTTAATCTTTTATCAAATAATATCATGTTTGGGAGAACTTTTGGCAAGTAGTTGTAATTGATCAAATTCTGCCAATGTTTTAATTTGACTTTTTGCTGGAGCTATGGGTCTTTACTCTTACAAATGTCAAAGAATATTCTTTCTGGTATCTTGTTGGATTGTATGTGAATAAAAGGAGATGTGGTTGACATTAAACCAACAATACAGCACAAGTGACTCAACATGGTGAAATGCCTCATCTGCTTAATTATTATTGAATATGTTGCATATTTAAGATAAATATCTTGCATCAAGGAAACTGAACCTTGTTCAAATGACTATAGAAATGAGTCTAAGTCAGATGACCCTTTTACAGCTTACCTTTAGCATGGGTTTTTATGCCCCACCTACAATAGTAGTAGGGGCATTATGTTTTCTGGTATGCGTCCATTCATTCATCCATCTGTTCGTCCATCCGTCCGTCTATCCGGCTTCAGGTTAAAAATTTTGGTCAAGGTAGTTTTTGATGAAGTTGGAAGTCCAATCGACTTGAAACTTAGTACACATGTTCCCTATGATGTGATCTTTCTAATTTTATTGCCAAATTGGGGTTTTGACCCAAATTTCACGGTCCACTGAACATAGAAAATGATAGTGAGAGTGGGGCATCAGTGTACAATGGACACATTCTTGTTTTTAAGGTCTTATGGCTAAATTTGTTTACATCCTTGCAATTTCATCTCTAGTAGATAAAGTTGTTAACATACTTGTAATTTCATCTCTAGTAGATAAAGTTGTTTACATCCTTGTAATTTCATCTCTAGTAGATAAATTTGTTTACATCCTTGCAATTTCATCTCTAGTAGATAAAGTTGTTAACATCGTTGTAATTTCATCTCTAGTAGATAAAGTTGTTAATATCCTTGTAATTTCATCTCTAGTAGATAAAGTTGTTTACATTCTTGTAATTTCATCTCTAGTAGATAAAGTTGTTAACATCCTTGTAATTTCATCTCTAGTAGATAAAGTTGTTTACATCCTTGTAATTTCATCTCTAGTAGATAAAGTTGTTTACATCCTTATAATTTCATCTCTAGTAGATAAAGTTGTTAACATCCTTGTAATTTCATCTCTAGTAGATAAAGTTGTTAACATCCTTGTAATTTCATCTCTAGTAGATAAAGTTGTTTACATTCTTGTAATTTCATCTCTAGTAGATAAAGTTGTTAACATCCTTGTAATTTCATCTCTAGTAGATAAAGTTGTTAACATCCTTGTAATTTCATCTCTAGTAGATAAAGTTGTTAACATCCTTGTAATTTCATCTCTAGTAGATAAAGTTGTTTACATCCTTATAATTTCATCTCTAGTAGATAAAGTTGTTAACATCCTTGTAATTTCATCTCTAGTAGATAAAGTTGTTTACATTCTTGTAATTTCATCTCTAGTAGATAAAGTTGTTAACATCCTTGTAATTTCATCTCTAGTAGATAAAGTTGTTTACATCCTTGTAATTTCATCTCTAGTAGATAAAGTTGTTTACATCCTTATAATTTCATCTCTAGTAGATAAAGTTGTTAACATCCTTGTAATTTCATCTCTAGTAGATAAAGTTGTTAACATCCTTGTAATTTCATCTCTAGTAGATAAAGTTGTTTACATTCTTGTAATTTCATCTCTAGTAGATAAAGTTGTTTACATCCTTGTAAAACTTGTTTACATCCTTATAATTTCATCTCTAGTAGATAAAGTTGTTAACATCCTTGTAATTTCATCTCTAGTAGATAAAGTTGTTAACATCGTTGTAATTTCATCTCTAGTAGATAAAGTTGTTAACATCCTTGTAATTTCATCTCTAGTAGATAAAGTTGTTAACATCCTTGTAATTTCATCTCTAGTAGATAAAGTTGTTTACATCCTTGTAATTTCATCTCTAGTAGATAAAGTTGTTTACATCCTTGTAATTTCATCTCTAGTAGATAAAGTTGTTAACATCGTTGTAATTTCATCTCTAGTAGATAAAGTTGTTAACATCCTTGTAATTTCATCTCTAGTAGATAAAGTTGTTTACATTCTTGTAATTTCATCTCTAGTAGATAAATTTGTTTACATCCTTGTAATTTCATCTCTAGTAGATAAAGTTGTTAACATCCTTGTAATTTTATCTCTAGTAGATAAACTTGTTTACATCCTTATAATTTCATCTCTAGTAGACAAAGTTGTTAACATCCTTGTAATTTCATCTCTAGTAGATAAAGTTGTTTACATCCTTGTAATTTCATCTCTAGTAGATAAAGTTGTTAACATCGTTGTAATTTCATCTCTAGTAGATAAAGTTGTTAACATCCTTGTAATTTCATCTCTAGTAGATAAAATTGTTTACATCCTTGTAATTTCATCTCTAGTAGATAAAGTTGTTTACATCCTTATAATTTCATCTCTAGTAGATAAAGTTGTTAACATCCTTGTTATTTCATCTCTAGTAGATAAAGTTGTTATCATCCCTGTAATTTCATCTCTAGTAGATAAAGTTGTTAACATCCCTGTAATTTCATCTCTAGTAGATAAAGTTGTTTACATCCTTGTAATTTCATCTCTAGTAGATAAAGTTGTTAACATCCTTGTAATTTCATCTCTAGTAGATAAAATTGTTTACATCCTTGTAATTTCATCTCTAGTAGATAAAGTTGTTAACATCCTTGTAATTTCATCTCTAGTAGATAAAGTTGTTAACATCCCTGTAATTTCATCTCTAGTAGATAAAGTTGTTAACATCCTTGTAATTTCATCTCTAGTAGATAAAGTTGTTAACATCCTTGTAATTTCATCTCTAGTAGATAAAATTGTTTACATCCTTGTAATTTCATCTCTAGTAGATAAAGTTGTTTACATCCTTATAATTTCATCTCTAGTAGATAAAGTTGTTTACATTCTTGTAATTTCATCTCTAGTAGATAAATTTGTTTACATCCTTATAATTTCATCTCTAGTAGATAAAATTGTTTACATCCTTGTAATTTCATCTCTAGTAGATAAATTTGTTTACATCCTTGCAATTTCATCTCTAGTAGATAAAGTTATCTCTAGTAGATACAATTGTTTACATCCTTGTAATTTCATCTCTAGTAGATAAAGTTGTTGACATCCTTGTAATTTCATCTCTAGTAGATAAATTTGTTTACATCCTTATAATTTCATCTCTAGTAGATAAAATTGTTTACATCCTTGTAATTTCATCTCTAGTAGATAAAGTTGTTAACATCCTTGCAATTTCATCTCTAGTAGATAAATTTGTTTACATCCTTGTAATTTCATCTCTAGTAGATAAAGTTGTTAACATCCTTGTAATTTCATCTCTAGTAGATAAAAATGTTAAGATCCTTGTAATTTCATCTCTAGTAGATAAAGTTGTTTACATCCTTGTAATTAGGGCCCCTCCGAATGGCGGACGCCCTATAGTGATCAGTCTTTCCGTCCGTCCGTCTGGCCGTCCATCCGTCCGTTTGTCCGTCCGTCCATCCTTAACAAATTGTGTCCGCTCTATATCTAGAGAACTGTTATGATTTCAAAGTTTATACTTGACATGTATATTAACCAACACCAGAGGGTGTGTCATAATGTATGTACAACTTCCTAGGTCAAAGGTCAAGGTCAAAAACTTTGGTTTTAGTTGACAACCCCACATCCTATGGTAAAGATCGTGTCCGCTCTATATCTTGAGAACCATTATGATTTCAAAGTTTGTACTTGACATGTATATTAACCAACACCAGAGGGTGTGTCATAATATATGTTCAACTTCCTAGGTCAAAGGTCAAGGTCAAAAACTTTGGTTTCAGTTGACAACCCCACGTCCTATGGTAAAGATCATGTCCGCTCTATATCTTGAGAACCATTATGATTTCAAAGTTTATACTTGACATGTATATAAATCAACACCAGAGGGTGTGTCATAATTTATGTACAACTTCCTAGGTCAAAGGTCAAGGTCATAAACTTTGGTTTAAGTTGACAACCCCATGTCCAATGATAAAAATACCAACTTTTTTCCACACATTATTCACAGCGGGGCCCACAGAGATGGCTCCCATCTCAATGATATCTAGTTTCATCTCTAGTAGATAAATTTGTTTACATCGTTGTAATTTCATCTCTAGTTGATAAAGTTGTTTACATCGTTGTTATTTTATCTCTAGTAGATAAAGTTGTTAACATCCTTGTAATTTCATCTCTAGTAGATAAAGTTGTTAACATCCTTGTAATTTCATCTCTAGTAGATAAAGTTGTTAACATCCTTGTAATTTCATCTCTAGTAGATAAATTTGTTTACATCCTTGTAATTTCATCTCTGGTAGATAAAGTCAAACGCATATATGTCGGGGCGGCAAGCTGTCTCAACGTGACTGTGTTTTCCCTAAAATTTCAGCTTTGACCTTTGACCCAAATTTAGGAAAATCGTGACCACTGTAGACAATAACAACATCGATATTTCGATGAGGCTTGTTCTCATCTTTCTAATGATAGAAAATACAGTCGTGTGTTATTCTGTTAACCCAAATCGATCAAATTTGTTGACTAGGCACCCTTCTAAAATGAGATGTGCCAATGCTAATACAACTGTATATCAAATATCATTGACCTACCAGTAAAAGTTCCCCTAAAACTGATATAGTCACAAACTTAAACATGTAAACTAAGCAAAAGTTTCAAAGTCAATAGACCATGACTAAGGGGGCAGGGCAAAATAATCTCCATGGAAATGAGATGTGCCAATGCCTATGCAACTGTATACCAAATATTGACGTACCACTAATAGTTCCCCTTAAACTGACCTAAACACAAACTAATACATGTAAACTAGGCAAAATTTTCAAAGTTAATAGGCCATGATTGAGGAGGCAGGGC